TTGTCTGATTTCTGCAAATTCTCAAAATAATTTGATTTTATAAGCTGGAAGATCCGTCTGAATACATTCATCTTTGMAGAAATGTATATGTTGGTCTATGAGAACAATTAATTCAAAGATCAATTATACATTCCACAAAGACCAATGATCTACAAACCCAGTCAACATTTGGAATTATTGTTTTATATAATTTTGTGATGTCATCCAAAACTTTATAGGTGAGTCTTCTTTATTTATAATTTTATTTTATAGGTAACTACTTAATTAGGAAAGTGCTTAAATTTTCCTTTAGAAACTGTCCCTCTTGTTGGATTGTTTTTGTTTTAATTCATACTCTTTTTAAAGTTTTTGTCTGTGATATGTTCACATGYAATATCTTTAAAAAAAGTATCGAATTATTTTTCACCTATGTTGTTGCATGAAGTTAATTTCAGTATTCAACGTATTTTTAGAGTTTATTTTTCTGAAAATATCGACGTTTCAAAATTTTATTTTATTTATTGTCTGATTTTTAATTTTTTTTTTGTTTCAAGATATATTGTGAATTATGAACACCGTAATGTTATGAAACATGTGATTCACCATGCTGTGCGCATTCCCATGGGGCCGGCAGCCGAAAACTTTCCGTGTTCCTAATAGTTATAATCATATTTTATTTCTTCAAAACTAGAAAAAATATTAAAAATTAGGAAATTAATGAAAATTAATTTTTGAAATGCCAGTATTTTGAGAAAAATAAACGCTACAATATGGCTATCTTTAATTTTTTTGGAAATAATTAAATAAAAAAATATTTTTTAAATTTTTTACAAAAACATTAAATTAAATAAAAAACGAAATATTTGTAGTTYTTATCCCTATGAGTCTTATCATGAAATCAGAATTTTGATATCTCCATTATTTTGTGAGGTATCGTAATGGGTTAGGTTTTGATCGCTCAAAAATCAAAATTGAATACTTGTTTCTCGTTATTATAGCTGGTCATATCTATAATACTGCATCTTTGACGCCGATTTAACCACTGTCTTCACTTTTATTTGCCGCTTAAAAATTAATTCTTCATTTCTAATAAGGATCCTGATACTTACTAATATTATTTATATCTAACACTGGATAGTCTTAACATATTGAGTGACTTTCAAGTTAAAATTCTGAATATTGTGTATGCATATTAAGTGACTTGCCATCACCAATAATTTGTAATTATGATACTAAATAGTAAATATAATTTCATTTCCAGAGATAAATAATAAATATAACTAATACCATTAAATCAAAATGGCTGTATCATTGTTGATTGTTGTATTTTAAAGTTGTCATTAAATTATCAAGATCCACGGTGTTTGGTTATGAATGAAAACATTTTGTTTGTAGGAAATAAGAAAAATTTATGTGTTTTTTACGGTTTTACATTAYGTTAAGATTGCAATCAAAATGGTTAAATGAAAAATTATAACAATAGAATTGTATGTAAAATAAAAACCAATTGCTTCACTTCAAGAAGTYATTAATACCAATTATTTGTTAACTACATATAAGAATATTATATGATTAGATATTTTAYAACATAAACGAGATGACAATGCAACCGTTAACTAGTTTTTAACATTAATATTGTTAATACTTTAACATTATATAATATCAAATGAATAGGATTAGTTTACATATTAAAGTACAAATTATTTTTATAATATTTAAAGTAAAAAATATATTTTAGATGCAGTTAGTTGAAGTATAAAAACCAAAAAAAATAATAAATTTTCAGATCTTATGTCATTTTTTGTACATTGTACACATACAATAAAAAAAAAAAAATATTATTTTTAAAATAAATACAAAGTATCAAGTTTATCAGTCATTGAGCCGAAATATTATTTTTTATAAACTAAGTAAGTTATAAAACATACAAATAATAAAATATCTTTGAAAAAAGGTTTTATAAATATTAAAATGATTAAAAAAAACCTTTTTAGACATCATTAAAAAGAACACAATGTCGTCTAAATAATAATATACTTATGATTATTATAATAATGTGTGTTATTCTGCGTTCACTACATTATTTACAGTTTAAGTTTACGTAGACTTACACACAAATTTTATGACTAGCATTTAGGATAATGGTCGGCGCAAGATAATGTTCACAGGTTAAAAGTCTAATCACAAAGAAAAAAATGTTATACAATAGTATAAAATATTCTCAAAAAATATATAAATAAAACAAACACAAAAATAAATAAACAATAATAATCAATTTTTTTTTAAATCTAGTTTTAAGGCCTAGGGAGAAGGTGAATGGGGCCAAGCTATTTTTGCGTCAATTCGTTTATAGGCAAACAGACAATGACTGCCACAAGCCGTCGTTGAACTTTTAATGTCTTGTGGACAATCAGTTTCGGATAATAAAAATTCTGTGAACAAAATATAATAATGTTTTTACAAGATGACTAACAAAGTAAAAGTAGGTATGCAACCAAACAGTCTTCATTCTTAATTATTATTACCTTGACCATTAATTAATTTGAACAGAGAATAATCTTGTGGATTGGTAATACGCAGTTTATGTGCAATGATTTTGCAGACATCACGTGTAGTCATGTGCGGTCTAACAGGTAATGTCTTAGTCAACAGTGATCCATTGGTTTCATCGGGTACAACAACTTTGAGAACAGATTTGAGTTCATTTAGTGGATCATAACTCAACTAAAGAAAGACAAATTAATTTAAATGTTTTTGTTAAAAGTATACAATTTTGGTGTTACATACTGTATTGTCGGAGCCCAATGTCTTTACCCCATTAATAGTATTTGCTTCCATGGACGACTTGTAACTCTTCAAAACATGTACAGCCCCGCACAGTGCAGTCAGATAGTATCCTCCCTCGCCAGGTATCAATGATGGGTGCAAAAGTCCCCACATGTATTCTGCCTCCAATTCGGCAGTAAGGACATTGCATTGAACAAGTACCCATACAAGCAGTGGTAGGAAGTCATCAGCGCCTAGACATGCATCTGCATTTCGATTTTGCATTTTAACCTGAACAATTTCATTTGATTAGATTAATATGGTAGACACACAAATKTATGAGTTATATTACAGCATTAAATATTAAAGCAATRGCTGATAGCAGATGTTCTAGTTTTTCCAATGGCAGAAATGCATCTTGGAGACGTTTGAAACATTCTGATATTTTTTTCAAATCATTCTCATTGGGTGGTATTAAACTTTCCTATAATAAAATTTAAGTTATTAATACTTTATACAGTTTAGCTAACTTATTTTGACAYAATATATAWAAAGTAAGTACATTACTGAAGAAATTTTTAGTTTGTCAATAATTTGTTGTTATTTAAATTATATCTAATAGTTATATTCTTTATTTGACATATAATTTAAAGTAGATATTTTATTCATATCTATAGAAATAATAATAGAATCCAATTAATTAAATTTAATTTTTTTCCAAAAAGCAATTATAATTTTTTTAATCAATCTTGGTTTTGTTTTTTGAATATTTATCGTGTACATAAAATAAAAACATGATTAAAATCGTTCYACTCAGAATCTAAAATTATAATTGTGAATTAAATTTTTAATACCTAGTTTTGAAATTATTTGTGCTTTAACAGTAAACTTACTCGGACAGCAAAGTCTTGAATACTCTTAGACTTGGCGTAGTGTATGTTTTCGACCATGGACGGGATCGAGTTGTTATTGACGTACTCGTCGACCAGAAGGCTGTAAATGTGTTCCCGGAGTTCCCTGAGCACCAGCCTATTCATCACGCCTTCCAGGATCACGTCGAGGTTTAGAAATTCGGTAGGCTTCAACTGCGTGAGGTAAATGGAGTAATTAAAAAATAATTAATGATAATTACAACAATAAATAAAAAGGAGTCGAACTTTATATACTGCGCGTTATAATAAACATATCCTATACATGTAATTTCTTTATTTCAATGACCAATTATAAACACACTACGTTCAGATATAACTATAGTTGTATTTTTATTCAGGTAGATAAAATATACAGTTCAAATGAGAGCGATAATAAAATACATTTTAATATAAGAGGATGTGATATCCGCATGTGTTGTCTCCGACTTACAAGTGGTTAATATACCAAATTTTACGCTCAGCAGATCRCGTTTACAATATTTATATAAGTACTCATTACTCAATAATAATCAATGGGTGAAGAAAATAATTGACTTATTATTTTTTTCTTAACAAATAATTCTAGATTTAGGTACGAAACGGTAAACTGCTCAAATGTRCAATACATGCCATGTTCAAATCACCACCTTAATTCTAAAATAAGAGATTACTYAAACTCAAATGGACTGAAAAGGTGAACTAAAACAGTGGAAGATAACATTAACATTAACAAAATCAGATACGTAAGAAAAAAAGTCTTATCGTACGAAAGCGCCAAGATCTGTGTGCCACGATTAATAAATATTAAATGATATAGATACCTAAATAGRTAACCAAATCAACAAATTTATTGAAAATATACATATATAGTAGGTATGAAATATTAATTTTGGCATATATGAATAGTTGATAATAAATAAGTTAACGTTTATGTTAATAAACAATGTACCTACATATGTTATATGTTGGGTATAACACGTATAAAGTATTAGATTGGCACTTATGTCCTACACATTTTGGTGTAAATTATGTCATTTTTGCACMTTTGGTACTTACATCATATAGTCAGTTAAAACATGCAACAGCGCTTAAATAAATTACCGCTAAAACTTTGAATGCGATGAACATAGGGCGGAGGTGTCAAGTTTAAATTAAATTAATATATTTATTTCACTAGAGCAGAACTGCATGCAAGAATTATAAGTATATTATATGTACCTATATTTGGAAAATGTTGATTTATGCAATATCTGTATATAAGTAAGATTACTAGGAATATTTAGAAAATCAATAAGTAGATATTATATTAAAATAATAATAATTTATTGAGTGCTGTTATTATTTTCGTTTTCATATTTTTCAACCTAATAAATACCATTAGTGAGTGGTAAAATCGAACAATATTTCTAATGATGACATTATTTTAGAGAAGTTTAAACTTCCAAGTCCCTCCGTCAAAAATAAAAGTTAATAAATAATGAATATCCGCTCGTAATATCATAGGTACCTACATAATGAAATAACGTAATATTTTACAAAATAAAAAACTATCAAGGGTAAAATATAGTTTACCTGGCTACGCTCCTTTTCCACGACTTTTTGGAATTCCTTTTCACCGTGTTTCAGCAGATAGTTCTTCATGCCAGACATGAACTGACGCACATTCCTCATCACCACCGATGGGTTGGTCTCCTTGGACTCGACCGTGCAGCACACGAAATTGTCGATGGACCTGGCAAACACGGTGGTCTTGTCCGCGGCCAGCTGCAAGGCGTACTCGCGGGTCGAAGAACCCGTACCGGTTTGGGCCATCAGGCGGCTTCGTGCCAATGCTTGGATCCGTGGGACTGCTACAGAATAACGTAAACACCACAGTTAATATTTCAATACGGTTATATAGTCTGATCGCCTTCGCTGGACGACAGTTGTCGGGTCRTTTTATTGCAGTGCGAAATTCGAACGGAATTTAAAATTAGTTTATAGAATAATAATAATAAAGCATTATGTCGTAACCCGAAGTAGGTATCTACTTATGAGAACGAGAAAGATAAAAAAAATACCGTTCGCCAGCCTATAATAACTATATAGTTCAACGTAGGCGGCGCAACCCATTTTTTCTTTGAATCAATTTATCAAAAAACATTTACACTATAGATATAACACAAGGAAAAATTGTGCAACGTGTTACCATAAAATTGAAAATATTATATCATGGTTACTCATGCTAATCGAAATTGTAAAATCCTAATCGATAAATATAATKTTATGAATTATGATACTTGTTGTACATATAGAATATGAATTGTGTAGGTATGTAATKTGTGTATTAGTTGCATCAGCGTATGAATATATTACCTACCTACTAATTAAAAATAGAATTTAATATAGTTATTTTAAGTAAAATCTAATCTTGATAGTTATTTGTTATTTTAAATATCACATGAGCAGAAATCTGATTTTTTGGTTAGTTAAAAAAAACTAATACGTACCTATGTCAAAACCGATAATTTAAAAACGTAGTTACCTAATCGAAGTTAAAGACATCATTCATATTTATGAGTAGGAATTCAGAAACTGAAGAAACTGAAAAGTAAACTTATTGGACGATATATACTACCTATATAGGATTATAGATAGGTATCCTAATACATAATTCAACTGTATATACATATATAATAAATGTATATGTATATTGTATATGTATGTATTGAGTTTTTTTATATTACAAGTCAGATATACTATGTATAGATCTTTCTATTATTTAGTATTTATTTGTACAAATATAATGAAAATCACTTACGAATTTATATGCATTTATTATGTTTATAAGTATATTTAATAATATTCAAACCTGTGTAAATAATAAATATGTAATACGGGCTTTAGAATGATTCCTTCAACATTAGGCGATTATTGTTTCGGAAATTATTAACTTTTTTAGAATTTTTCTTAAACGACAACTAATGACAACGGCGTAGTWTGAAATGGGTGTATAGGGYTATGTTATTTTTTTATTTTGGGCACAAATAAGGTGCTACATCCAACGTTGCATAATACATTAATTATAAATCTAAATAAAGAAAGTATAGGTTGTATACTGTTAAAGTATTTTTATAACAATATAAATGAAGATTGATTTTTATTGTTTTTAAGTTGTACCCGTCGATTAAAGTGCATTTAATTTTTTTAATCTGTGTCACGGTTGAAGGGTGGGTCATGCAAATACATTTTTCATCGTTATTTTTTTCAGTGACAAGATGGAAAAAACATGTGGGCTACATTCTGTAGCGAGTTTATAGAACACCAATACGAGACCTTCGTAAAATTAAAAAAATTAAATTAAATATAACATACACTTCTGCAGGTATTATTGAATCTACTACAAATATAACAATATCATAAAGCACCCACGCGCAACCTTGATTTTCGAAAAGCAAGTAATTACCTATAATCTTATGAATTATAAAAAAAAACATCAGCGTTCGTTTTCTTCATAATCGTTATAAATAGATGCATTGAAAAAATGAACTTGACTTTTACGAGCCGTTATTTCGGAGACATATTGCGCACTAGACACGACTGGAACTTGTCGTTTGAATATTTAATTATTATTAATTACATAACACTGGAGACAAGTACACTGCAGACGAATACGGACGGCTGTCGGCAGTATAAACTCGTTTATCGGGATTTTAATGACTCTCGGGTGTAATCATCATCTTGCGAGATCACGAACGATTTATATACACCGCGTTCGCTGGGTGTAACCTAAACACGTCTCAAATACGAACGTCGAACAACGTTTCTAAAGCTACATTTACTCATTTCTTTTTTTTTTGCCTAGACAATGAAATAGAGCTTTTATTAATAAATATAGCTCAACGACCACAAWCGACATGATATAATATTATCTATATAAATCCGAAGATTTGGGTAGAAAATCAAAAATATCTCGTAAAAAAATTTATTTATTTATATCAGGTACGTCGATTAGTTGTAGAATCATTCGCAAAATAAACAAATAATTTAGAAGACAAGGTTAGACATTGCTGTACACTCCAATTATGATTGGGTATGTGCATTAATTTTAGTAATGAATATAAAATAAAATTTAATTTRATAATGTATTGCTTGACTAAAATCATTAAATATGTGTTATAGATTTTTTTTATGTATTAAACAATTTTTTTTATCCTATTTGTATATTAAATTAATGAGATACCCATGAGTATAAAACRTATCTGTTTTACCATAACACATTTAGTACCTAAATGTAAATGTGAATGTATACTTTTTGAAAAAAATKAATTATTAATATTGGTCAGATATTCGACACTCCACTAGCGACCTCGTCTTATTACATTATAAAATATACCAGAAATGTACTATATKAACGTATTTATACTGGATGATTCATTTGWTATTATTTAGTMGAGCYCACGGGGTGAATATTTCGATTATYGGTCAAGTAATGTGGAGCCATTTTTGTTTTATACCGAAACAAAACGAATCTCAAATAGTAATGAKTACCTACCAACTACTAAGAATAACAGAGCTTTCAACCATGCGTAAGATTTGAAAACATGTATTTTCGTTTCATTATGAGGGCAATACACGTTTTGAATAAAAAGGTGTAGAAAACCATGTAAATTAGGAAACATAGAGTATATAGCCCGTTTAAACATTTCCCTATTAAAATTACATTAAAATACATTTCTGAAATGCTCAATTTTATTTTCTGAAATTCCCAAGTTCAGCCTGTGAAGTCGTGAAGGTATACACTTAAAACATTACMTATGACACTTAAATCTTGAAGCAAAAACGTATGTAATATTACAATAYTCAGTCTGAAGTACAAAGTGGCCTTCTAAATGATAATTGATACCTAAAGCCATGGATTTTAAAATATCAATGCTATTATCTAAGACTTAATTCTAAATTCTAATTGTTTTTATTATGTATTTGTCATACAAATCGAATTTAGTAATATAACTTACTTGACTAAAAAAAGTAGGATCTGAATGAAATATATCATTCAAAATAATTTATTTAAACTATTTAATACAATTAATATACTAGTAAAATGTTCATCCATCTTACCTAAAAGTGGATCCAAGCGTTCAGAGAAACTTTTGTTTCGATTTACTGGCTTCAAATGTGCTTGATTTTGTTCTTTGTTGGCGACAGGCAATAAATGTTCCCACCTTGAACTATCCCATGGCTCAGAAAATTCGGTCTGTAATTWAAAAAAAAATATATACAAATATAATCAAATAACAAATATATAGATAACTATCAACATTTAGAAATAAGCATTTTATTTACTTTAGTATCGTCATCACTATTCTGAGATAAAAGAGAYAGATTGCTGAAGCCACTTAAGTTCAAAGTATTGTTGTTCACACTATCTGAAGATTTTTGATCAGGCAGTTCAGTATTATCATTGTTTCGAGATGTTGAACTGGGTTCTTTGATGTACAAACTCAAATGTGGCAACCTGAGAAAATGTATTACAATAATTGTTTAACACCATGAATATAATGTTTTTGAATAATAAAAAAAAGGCCTGGCAATGGATTTAATTAAATTTACCTTTGTAAAATAATCTCTTGTATTGTAGGTCCTTTACGAYTAGGAGATTCTCTTAGACATTCATTGGGTTGGCTAGTTGTTATTTGCTCTGTGTTATCTAATGAGTTTACATTTTCATTGTCATTGCCAATAAACTCCCAACTAGAATCTACTGCCCATGAACCATCCTGACCACGCTTTGGTGGAMCAATACGTGGAGTTTCTACAGGCTTACCAGTTTTTAGTGGTTCTCTTCTGGAGTTTTTCAACAACGGTATATTATCTACGGACGACGAGAATGCTTGGTTGGTAGAGTAATTACCATTAGGAGATAGCAGTTCTTCTTTAGAATCAATACGAGTTAATTGGCTACAGCCGACTAATGCTGGCCATTGATGAAGAAAACTTGGCTCTGAATGGCGGTTTCKAAAATTATTTGTTGAAGGTTTGGTCTTGCGACGTAGGAAAGCTGCCTATACATTATTTAAAATKAAATTAGTAATATRTTAATTAAAWTTTTTAGTATAAATGGTTTAAATAGTTTACTTGTCTTATGGCATCAGCAGGTTCGGCATAAAAAGGGCTGCTTTGTTTAGCTTCAGCCATATCGTCTTCGGGAACAGGTGATTTTGTCTCCGKTGACCCAGGTGACAATAAACTGGTTGTACTATCAGTAATAGATGGGAGATCGTTATTTTGGTTTAGTGGTAAAACAAGACCTAGTGTATTTTTAGGAATGGTTGGAATACTGGTGGTTTGTTCCAAAATATCGGGTGGCATCTCTGGAGGAACTTCTGGAGTATTTTTCTTATAAGTTCCACTATTGCTTTGAGAAGGAGTCTTAAATGTAGACAAAGACGAGTCAGGACCCCAAACATCTTCATAGTCGCTAACTTTATCCGCAAAAGTACTTCTATGATAAATATTAGGTGTTTCTAAAATATCACTTTCTCTGTAGTGTCTAGATTGTTTTATTCTATTTCTTTTAGTACGGCGACCGGAACGTAATCCACCTCCYGTGTCTGAGATCGGGGATGTTATTTCAGAACCTAATGGACTTTTGATTGCTGGCATGATTTCACTGTCATCTGTTGACTTTGATAACTGTCCACAAGATACTTGAATGAGTGGAGAGGGAGTTGTTTCTTTGTGAAGACTAAATGTCACAGTAGTAGTTACAGTAAAATTTTGTTGTGCCGCTACAGGCTTGGCCCAACGAGGAGGAGGWGGTGGTGGTGTTTTAGCTGTATGAGTTGAGCTTACAACATCYGTAGTTGCTATTGGACTATTGGAAGATTTAAGATTTAACGTATTGGGAGGCGTGGGTCTTGTTCGACCACTCACAAGGCTCATTGGTGGTGATAAGTTATCGGAAGAGGACGGTGTACCTAAAAATGTATACAACATYAATAAACGATCATTGTTGAAAATTTTGTCTAATATCTAAAATGATTAGTGATTACCTTCTTTCGAAGAACTTTTGAACGTTGTTAGAATCCCATTACCTTGTTGTATACTTTCCACTGGACTAGTTGATAATTCTTCTATAGACAGGTGATTGTCTGTAAAAGCAGAYTCTTGATTATTATTGCCTATAAATAAAAATTAATATATATTARCGTATATTATACATTTATAATATAGTCTGATTCATATATCACTAATCAGTAATTTATTTGTAAATACATGTGTTTTAAAAAGTTTTCTWGATRATTCTTTGAAATCATTATAACAAATAATTGAAAAATCGAGTTGCAATATTTAAAAAAATGGAAAAGACTTAAAAAATTGGTTTTTATGAAAATATATCTATAGACTATAATAAATACATAYATTATTATAYAAATAYAAAAATCTCACCACTGCTAAAACTACTAAGGCTACTTGATTGACTGTGGGCAGCACTACTGGGAATAGATGTGTTTAATGTCCTTTTTGTTGGTTCGTCATTTGGCGAAATATCCAAAGTCGGAGAACTCCTTGAACTRGCCATAGGATATCTCCAGAATTCTATGAAAATACAAGTAGGTATTGTATTTTAATAATGAATGAAAAGTAAAGAAATATTGGGACATGAAAAACCACCAACCTTGACCAAGTAACGCTAACGAAGAGAGTTGCTGTCGATTTTTGGCTTCTTGTATAGCTTTTGGTAACATGAGCTGTACAGGCAGTTCATCGCTGAAATTATTTAAATAAAATATATTGTATCAGTGGCGGCAAAAACTCTTGAAGAGTTGTGATGCCAATGAGAGAAAAAAGAGAATCAAATAAATTATTATGTGTTTTATGTTTTTTCATTTTTCACAACGGTTTTATAAATAACAAATCTTACCAGCACTGTGCATAATGAGCAATTAACATAGGGATACTGTCAAATTTATTGTCTGAACTTTCCAGAGCTAATCGGTTATCGGYAGTGGCTTGAATGAGATAATGTTCTATGTACGGACCTTTGCCACTGGGCAAACGAACGGATATGGCCATAGTGCCCGTCTGACTGGACTGTCTCACGACAAAATTCTGAAACAATATTATACACATATACCTATGATTTCTATGATTTTTAAACTTCAATTGTAAAAGACGAGAYGACAACAGTCAACAATCAACAATAATGACAAAATTGGGCAATATTTGAACATTTCACTCACCCCGTCGTCTTTGCCTTGCAACAAGTGAAAAGCACCGGCCCGTTGAATTCCTGGTAGAAACCATATCGGATGACTACGTATAAGACGTTCGAGTAATCCAATATCACAACTGGCCGCATCCCCCGAACCAGATCTTACGGATCCACTACTGGTTTCATAATCGTCTTCATCCTGTAAAACATCACAAGTATATTTCGGTATTATTAACAATACAATTAAAGYGGTTGTAAAAATAACTGGATATAATTAATATGGACCGCGGTGCTCATAAAACGTGTAAGGATTTAATTAAAAGAAAAAAAATAATAATAATGAGACAAATAAGGAAAAAAAATATTGTGTTTTTATGAAACTATACACGTACCCGTAGAAGTAATGCAAATAAAGGGGAATTCCCGTGGCTACTATAAAGGCTGTCTCATTTATTAATTTCCATTGTTTTTTTTAAAAATTATTTTCGTTACTCCGTCTTGAGGTTCATTATCTAATAAGATATATAAGAACTACCGAGTGCCACCGACTTGTCCGTCTCCAGAAATTAATTACAACGCGATAAAATGCAAAATAAAATTTATCACAAATAAAATAAAATAACATATACATTATACATAGTTATGTTGATGAATATACCGGCTATACGCCTATACTACGTACGCTGTATAGAGATTATATTTTCAGAAGAAATGTTAATATTTCACTTAAAAAACGAAACCCAATACACTCACACAGAGTAAAGTTGGCGCCAAGTTCATTTAGGCTCTCCTCCGTTTAGTTTAAGTCGGCAGTGGTCTAATAATAGAGAATCGAGTCAATATATAACTGAGGACTAAAACGTGTGACATCACCATCCAATTACTTAAGATTTTATTTTTAATTTTACGCGTACGCGGTATATCCGGTTAGTTTGTACGGCCAAATAGATTTCGAAGAACAACATTTCGCATGGGGCAATCTCTTCATGTATAAATATTTACAACGCAGTAAAAAAAAATAGATAGGTAGGWACGTTCGAAAAATACAAACGGAAATTCTAACAAGATAAAATCTGTTCATTACATATTCTTTGTAAGTTTTCATTGTTCAATATCGTTTATGCATTTTGACCATCAATAACAACGTGAAATTCGAGGTGAATAAGTATTGAACGCATTAACTACATTATTGCATATTTCAACCTATAGTTAACATAATTTAATTTTAATATTATGTATTTAGGTATACAAAAAATTTAATGCAATGGATATTTAGTAACACTGAACATCACATAAAAGTCAGAACTTCGTAAAACATTTGTAAGCCATATGGGTGGTTTCAAAAACATAAAAATAGCTAGAATTACTCCAATTAATAGCATTAATGAATATTATATATTGCAATTCATTTTCGTAAATGACGTATCATGATATTCACAAATCCAMATCATTCTAACTTGTTCTATATAGATATCTGACTGTATTTTATTTCAAGGTTTCCTATATTTTAAGTTTTTTTATGTAAATTAACTGTATATATTTTAAATATTAACTATTAAGTAACTTGAATATATATATATATATATTAGAAGAGATGTTCATATTAGACCTCAACAGTTTGTGGTGTATCCTCGCTACTTCACTGAACTAGCTTTAAATTCTTATCAGTCATAAAATTTCTATACCCATTGTTGAATATTTGATACACAATACAATTGCATATTATGTATATAGTATATTGTATATACACATTTTCTGAAAAATATTGTATTACGAATTATGTAAATAATACAAGCATTGCCTACCTACCATAAAAAATAAAAAAAATAAAAAGTTTTAACAAGATACCCAGTTAATAAAATATAATATAATATAATATAACAATATAATATTGTTTACTTTTTTCAAAAATGTATTTATACTTTGCACCAACAACAAAATTAAAACATATAATATAATAACAGTTTGTAATAGTAAAATAATAATAAATTATTTGAATGATTATAAGACTATATAAATTTAGAAAAAAAAGAAGTTTAAGTATTACTATATTAGGCATTTGCCTATCAAAACGAATGAAGTATTCTTTTCCGTATAATATATTTAAGTATACGTCAAAATATTTCGATCAGTACGCAGAATATTCGAAAAAAGTGCACTACCATTTTTAYACAACACACCAACACTCGATACGTCACCCTCGCCATACTCATTGACGTAGCCAAGGGGGWTTTTCAGTGTGTAACTCACCCACCCACCACCACTGACATTTCCCCCCTTATTAAATGTATTATTTACATACGAAATCTGTAAAAAAAAATTGGTTTAATTTATACATAACCCCTCCCCTTTCGTAATCCTGGCTCCGCCACTGCCCATCATATTACATTGATGCTGTGACTAAGTGCAAATAAAATTTTTCAAATGTTATCTCGGTCAATTTTATACCAATAGGGTTGTGCCTAAATAAATACTTATAGTACGCATGTTCTAACCACGCAGATTAAATTAATAACCACATAGAATTGGTTTGGTGATCTAATTCCGTTCAACCGACACGCAGGATGAGAATCAGCTTAATTGCGCTTGGCAAACAAACGCACGCGCATATACGTACAACTGGGTTTTCCGTCGATTGGATTTGGCATCGGGTCGGGAYGCACTTGATTAAGGATGTCTCCCCCTCMCCACAAGACCGTCGTGTCCGCACTACAGGTGCACATATTACGCCTTCACGAAGACTCTCGAAACTCTATATAGTATAGACTCCAGTATAAGGAATAAAGTGCGCATTTATATATATATATATGTATAAGGGCTATAGAATGGGTACGGCGACAGGGAGAGTCATACCACGGGAGGTGGGACTAGTGGGTAATTCCGGTCACAACGCGAGTGGCAACTTTCTTCGGTTTGCCCGCCGTACACGGGTTTTCAATTAGCGCGTATAAAACTTTTGCCAACTCTTTATGGGATATTTTCTTTTTGTTTTATTTTAAAAGCTGTTGACGGTATAATATAATTCAATATGTAGGTTACAAAAATAACAGTTTTGGGACGTCTTGCAAACCGTTAGTAATATTAGGGGCGTCGAAATAAAAAATTCCATTACAAGTTACGAAATGATGCTACGGATAATCTGCCGTCATAAGATGCTTTTCGGCCGGTGTAGTATAATACCGTAATAATGCGAATGGAATATTTGTCAACGATGATGGTACTGCTCCAGATGAAGATGGCTATCATAACAAGACACCGAGGTACGTTTTTATTACATTGCAGGACTTCGATCACACACTCAAAACACGCACAGTCACGTATCTGTCTATGAGCAAAAACACGATAAAAATACGAAGACAGACATCATAATGTAGAGTGACCGATCGATTATTATTATTTTATTTATCCAGTGTTCGGTTCCTGATATACACAGCAACTAAAAGTTCAGGGTGTATACGCTATATACATACCACATTATACACATTGTTATAGTATAAATAGTAAAAATATGCACTGAATCTAGGTCAATTGCTATCAGATAATTTACCACCCAATGTTCTTTAGGAATAGCTGATAATATTGTCATCTGTATTCCGATAATTCATACCCATAATTTATTATGATGAGCATATGGCTTTATACGTTCAATTTTTTTTTTAATTTTCAAACCTGAGGCAAACAAATCAAACAGATAATGATTTTGTTATTTAAAAATGATTTAAACATTATAATATTATGTTTATTTTGAATCTTATGAACAATTTTTTCTATTTATCTACCTGAAAAATTATAATAATTATTATTTGTTGAATAAACTAAAGCGTATACAAGATTTTATAAATAAACGAGTGTTCCAACTTGATTAAAAAAATATAGTGAAGAGGATCTTAAGAATAAGACAAGGAAATAARGAGTCCTGACTTATTTTTAAAATCCTCATCGCATAATTAGATTGATCAATATTCAATGCCTGTGTTGAAAAAAAGCCAGTTTCAAATCCTTTCAAAAGAGTTATTTAAATTTAAAATTTCCTTCCACGGGTCACCGAGTAGCAATTGACCAAGTATCACGGCTCCTGCAGCTTACCCGTTGCGAACTTCAAGATCACACGCAACTTGTCATGGTTGTTTGTGTGCTATGTTGAATAGTATAATATTTTTAAAACCATTTCTTATAATATATTTTAGTATAAATTCATAGTAGAGTTATTCATAGTACGCACAAATGAACATCGACACGCGAATATTGCATAGGTGGCCATCATAAAACGACTGACTATATATAGGTCTCGGTGCACTGTTGCGGCTACAGGTGAACGTATTTTCTTTAAAATAATAAAAAACAACACGAAATAATCTCCTTTATAAAATTATATCATAGCTGATGCGTGTGACAGATATCACTAAATATAATAAACATGTCATAAAAATTATAAGTTTGCTATTAATTATATTACATATATACCACACTTGACTACCGGGATTGTCGTCAAGCACATTACAATAATAATAATATATGATGACTGCTAAACAGCTAATAATAATTATACGTAAACACAAACACGTGAACTCAATTTGTTATAATGAATCATCATATTAATAAAATGTAAGAAAACGTTGACTTCTTGAAATCGGTCAACGATTTTAATGGTTATTATATTGGCGTTAATTGTTTGCTTTGCACACTTCATTATGTGAAAAAAACTATGTCTGGTGACTACTAAATTGGTGTATACGTTTGTTATATATAATAATTCTATACAATCCAAGTCGATGAAATGGGATAAAAAAAAATTAAAACTTAATAAAAGTTATAATGATTATTATTATAGAATGAGCTATTATTATTGTGACMTAAATGTATATTGAAATAAATATTCAGTAAATTATTTTCGAAAATGTAAAATGTAAATTTTTTTTTAATTCACGGACGTTATTTCTTGATTTTTCATTCAAATTCAATTTCAATATTTATTATAGTTATTAGTTAACTTATCGAGACTATAATATTGTACAACCCCAATCTTCCCGATATAAAACACTTAAGGCTGAAAAGGTTGTATTGACCCTAATCGGCCTAAGCCCAATGTCCAGAGTCCTAAAATCGAGTTGAAATCAAGTAACATATTATACAAGGAGACTCGTTTAACAATAAACATTAATTATCATTGAAATACTAAAGTTTTTTACATAATTAATT